GGGGAGCCGCTTAGCGATCCTGCAAGCTATAGACGGCTGGTTGGTAAATTAAATTATCTCACAATGACTAGGCCCGACATTTCTTATCCTCTGAGTGTTGTAAGTCAGTTTATGAATTCTCCCTGTGATAGTCATTGGGATGCAGTTGTCCGCATTATCCGGTATATAAAATCCGCTCCAGGTAAAGGATTACTGTTTGAGGATCGAGGTCATGAGCAGATCGTTGGGTACTCGGATGCTGATTGGGCAGGATCACCTTCTGATAGATGTTCTAAAGTCTGGATAGTGTGTTTTAGTAGGAGGAAATTTGGTGTCCGGGAAAAGTAAGAAACAGAATGTAGTTGTTCGGTCTAGTGCAGAAGCAGAATACCGAGCAATGGCTATGGCAACATGTGAACTAGTCTGGACCAAACAATTGCTCAAGGAGTTGAAATTTGGTGAAATCAGTCGGATGGAACTTGTGTGCGATAATCAAGCTGCACTTCATATTGCATCAAATCCGGTGTTTCATGAGAGAACTAAACACATTGAGATTGATTGTCACTTCGTCAGAGAAAAGATACTCTCAGGAGATATTACTACGAAGTTTGTGAGATCGAATGATCAACTTGCAGATATTTTCACCAAGTCCCTCACTAGTCCTCGCATTGATTATATATGTAACAAGCTCGGTACATATGATTTATATGCTCCGGCTTGAGGGGGAGTGTTAGAGATAGGTATGTAATTGTCCCACATTGGAATAGGAGTAGTATCCCCTTTGTATAGAGTAGCTATAAATAACACCTCTTGTATTGCATCACACACAATATATCAATATATATCATATTTTCTCCCGTGCCTTCTCACAACTTCAAAGGGATTTTCTATGGAATTCAACTAATGGGGTGCTGAAGTATCACTTGGAACATTGGGAGATTCTCACAACACCAAGTATTTGGGTTGACTTGGGGTTAAAGAGTTAAGGTATTTATGCTTTACTAGGAAAGTGTTTATGGAGATTTGAGGTTTGCTCTTTGGAGAGAGGTGATCATGGAGAAATATGGGGTCTTGGAAGGGGGATGCAACACTAAAAATGTCACACTTTCATATTGATACCTATGGAGGAATATTTTTAAAGATTGGGAAGAGTTTAATGGGAATGTATCTTTCAGGGTGGGAGATGGAAGTAGGGTAAGTTTGTGGGGTCACAGGTGGTGGGGGATAGTGCTATGAAAATTTCATTTCCAAACATGTATAAATTTTCAAGCCAAAAGGAGATATCAGTCCAACAGGTACAAAAGCTACAAGGTGGAGAAGTTCACTGGGATTTGAGGTTTTAAAGGCCTTGCAAGACTAAGAAGTTGCAGAATTCTAAAGGTTAGTCAAATGTCTCCACAAACAAAGCACGATTTATGGAGTTGGGGTTTGGGGGGGGGGGTTGATAGTGGCATGTTTCCTGTTAACTCCTATGATGAGAAGCTTTTGGTAAGGGAGGAGACTGTTTGCAGTATATATCGGTATGGATCCACAGTGAACCGACAAATGTGTGTTTTCCACTTGGATAGCTGTGAAGGCAGTGATCTTAACGGCTGAGAAGTTAAGGAAGTATATTTTTCAGTTGGTGTTTTATGTGTAAAATCTCGACCGAAGAAGTGGACCATCTTGTTTTATATTGTTGGGTAGCTCTCGCTTGTAGTGGAAAATATTGAGAGGGTTCAAAAATTGGAATTCAGTGGTGATGCTAGGCACTGTAAACGAAGTGATGTTTAGTTTGACCCTTAGAAGACGGGAGAAAAGACAGAGGGCATGAGATGTTTGCTCCATTAGAAGTTATGTGGACCACATGGAGAGAGACGACAACAACAACAACAACAGCGACCCAGTATAATCCCACAGGTGGGGTTTGGGGAGGGTAATATGTACGCAGACCTTACACCTACCCCGAAGGGTAGAGAGGCTGTTTCCAGGAGACCCTCAGCTCCAAAAAAGCAACATGAGCCGATATATTAGTACCATAAAAATGCATAATAAAATAACAGCAATATAAGAGAGATGAAATACAGAATACGAAATACGAAATAGATGGCTGGTATAGTAAAACTAGCAGGTAAAGCCCTGCATCAATAGACGACCAATGACATTCTTAGTCTAACTTCTAACTGGCTAGTCTCACTCTATTGTGCTGTAGAAATATTCACAACTTTCCCTAACCTACAACCTTAATGCTCTACCTCCATAATTCCATAATTCACATGGAGAGAGACAAATAGGAGAATTTGAAGTTGTACAGAATAATTCTGTACACTAGATTTCTTTTTGGTGTATTCATGAGGTTCCTATATGTATAGATTATTGGGTGCCATACTGTCATTTGTAAAAAAAATCATATCTTGTAAGGTTTTCTACTTTTTGATACGGGAGGTCTTTTGCCCTTCATTAATAAATATTTATTACTTTATCACACACACACCCAAAAAAAACAACTGTGAAGGCAGATTGCCAGGACTTGATGTAAAAGCTGAATCTCTAGACCTGTATGTCATGCATTTCTGCATGAATCACACTTTTAATTCTAATCGCTTCTCTGTTTAAATCTTTGAATGCTGGAAACATTACTTGAAATGTCTTCATCTAACAGGAATTCCAAGGAGCAATTCCATTGGTAGAGTTTCCGACTGTGTCTCCAATCTGAATGATACATTACCAAACTCAGAGGAGGCAATCCGTAGAGGGGAATATGCTGTAATTAGAAGCTTGATTCGGGTATTAGAGGTAGCAAAGCAGTCTAACTTTCTATTTCAGTAATTTTAGCAGATTGGACATATTGTTTGATTTGTTATTGACTGGAGTTATGCCTTAAAGGGTGGTGTTGAAGGCAAAAGACAAGTGGATAAAGTCATTGACAAATGTTCCTCTATGCAGGTAGGGTTGAATTATGTTTAGGAATATGTTTTGCTTCTACCACTTGCCGTTGGTTATTTCTGCGCACTATCTACTATGCTGTCTTCTTGTTCATGATCTGCTTCTTGTAATGAGAAAATCCATGATCAATCTTCTCTATCATCCCTTCTACTTCATTTCATTTTGGAAAGCTTGAAAATATGCAGTTTCTTTCGGTGTGGCTCTGAGATAAAAATAATTTATAATGCAAAATTTTCATTTAAATTGTTAATATGGATTACTTGCAGAACTTACGTGAAGCTATTGCTATCTACCGCAATAGTATTTTGCGCCAACCTGATGAGATGAAGAGAGAGGCTGCACTTTCGTTTTTTGTGGAGTACCTAGAAAGATATTACTTCCTTATATGTTTTGCTGTATATCTCCATACACAACGAGATGCACTATTTTCTAGGTCCTCTGCTCAGTGCAGCTTTAGCGATTGGATGAAAGCAAGACCAGAGTTGTATAGTATAATCCGTCGGTGAGGATAAAATTTTCTGCTATTGTTCAAAGTGCTTGCCTTACAATATTTTATCTTGCTGCTTTTATCATCGTTATTCTTATTATTGTTTTTACTCCATCTTTTCTGATGCATAAACATAACTGCTACAACTGACTCTTTCAGGTGGTATCAGACATCATTATTTTGTGTCAGTATTTTGTCACTGATTCATGTGCATATGTCTGTTGTTGGACCTGAGGAACTTTTGTAATCTTACATAATTTCAATTTAATCTGATGTTTATCTGAGAAATTAAAGAGATACCTACAGAACGAGAACATAATTTGGCCCAAAAATTGACTTTATACTACACTGGTTTTCAGTTCAATTGTTGAATTGCACTTCCCAGGCAATTTACTTGTTCATTAAGTACTTATGTATTCTGAACTTTCAAATTATGTGGAGAAAATTAGCATTTATATCTTGCAAGAAAGTCTATGCAATCACTAAATTTGTTCAACTGTTCCTGTCTTAGTTCCCTTTTAAGTTATTCGGCTTGGGGGTTGGTATTTGGAGAGAGCAGGCAGAAACATCTTTATGAACTTGTGGATCTGAACTTTGAGAAGCCTCTCAAGATTACTGAGTCATCTCCACTATGCCATACATTAATCGAGTTACTTTCCAACCTAGATGTGTAGCCATGCTGGTGGTTTGATTTGCTTAAATTTTTCTAATGTAATGAAGGCATTCCTTATAACATCTCATCTGTGTGGATGAGGCTTTGTATCGAACAAGATACTACCACATATGTTAGTAAAAGTTTCTTGACCTTGGACACTGTGTTAATAGAACTTTGTGATCTCTAATATTGAAGGACCATCTTGTGATATAGCACACTTGTATGGGCTCCAGAGGGATGCTGCTTTACTGGAAAAGCCCAAAGGAATCTTGCATTATTGGAAACTTATTTGCTAGATTTGGCTGCAGGTTGCTAAGGAGAGACCCTATGGGAGCACTTGGCTACGTGAGTCTGAAACCTTCTCTTGCTAAATTGGTTGACACTGCTGATAGTCGCCCTTGTGAGATGGGGCAAGTTGCTGCTTTGAGGAACGGAGAGGTTCTTGGACCTCAAACTGTTCTTAAAAGTGACCACTGTCCTGGCTGTCAACATCCTGGCTTGCCAGAAATATTAGAAGGTGCTCCTAACTTTAGAGAAATTCCAGGTTTTCCTGTCTATGGTGTTGCGAATCCCACCGTCAATGGGATTCGATCTGTAATTCAAAGGATTGGTAGCTCCAAAGGTGGGCATCCAGTTTTCTGGCACAATATGAGAGAAGAACCTGTTATCTACATCAACGGAAAACCATTTGTACTCCGTGAGGTTGAAAGGCCGTATAAAAATATGCTTGAATACACGGTATGAATGCAATTTCATGAAAATTTTAGATAACTAACTTCTGTCAGACCTTATTGCTGCCGATGATACATACACTCTTCATTTTGCATTAACGTACCTTTGTCAAACGTGTGTGACATGGTATGGTATCATTAATGGATCCTTTAAATGGGTACTACATGACAAAATTTGAGACTTATTTTGTGCTGCCAGAAGCCATTCTACTTCCTTTTGGTTTCTCTGTTTGGAAGAATACTTTTTTCAACCTCTGTTTGGAAGAATGCAATTTCTTTATTTCTCTTTTCATTTTTGCTTTTCACATAAAAATCAAGAAAGGTAGATCATGGAACTTTTGTTTGATTATAACTTTAGTTTTACTACCTTTAAAAGTTCTTGCTCTTCTTCTTCTCACCCTTTCTGAGCCGAGGGTCTATTCACTAGGTAGGGATAAAATCTGCGTACACACTACCCTCCCCAGGCCCCACCTGTGGGAATATACTGGGTTTGTTGTTGTTGTTGTTGTACCTTTAGAAGTTCTTGCAATTTCTTCTGTTGCATGTATTGATTTTGGAAGATATTCTTAATTCCAATGAGATCTCAATATAGAACGTGGTGCAAATATCTTTGCTTTTAAGTCCTTTTTTGAACCTTTGGCTGATATATATTTTATCAGACACAGCAATTTAATAAGTACTTCCTTGTACCGAACAATCAGATTGCATAAATTGGAATTTGTTCCAAGCTAATTTTGATAGATTTCAAATGGTACAGTTAGTTCTGTTTTCGAATTACCCTTCTGTAGCTGTAACTATTTTATCTTTCGCTTGTAATTGTTAAATTTCCTGATCTCTAGCTTAAAAGCCTTATTTTGTTTACTTCAGCATACAATATTTGCATTTCTAATGCAAGGTTGCTTTTTGTATTGCAATTTTTTAGTTGAAAATACAAGATGCTTCCTTCTTTTAAGTGGATTTGCTTTGGAGTCTTGACTCCTCTATTACTTGGTATTTCGAGACATGATAACTAAACTGACTAATTACAAGTATGTGGATCTAGGGTATCGATCGTGAAAGAGTGGAAAAAATGGAAGCTCGATTAAAGGATGACATTATGCGAGAAGCTGACCGTTATCAAGGTGCAATAATGGTTATTTGATGCTTGGGAACATGTGAGCTCTGATGCAGTTCAAACTCCCGTGGAGGTCTTTAAGTGCTTGGAAGCTGATGGTTTTCCTATAAAGTATGCCCGTGTTCCTATCACTGATGGCAAAGCTCCCAAAAGTTCTGACTTCGATTTATTGACTTTTAATATAGCATCTGCTTCCAAAGATACTGCTTTTGTCTTTAATTGCCAGGTAACCACTATGAATTCTTCTTCTTCGATTTACTTGTATTTCTTGTGGCCTTTGGCTCCAAAAGGAAGATGCTGTTTTACTTATTTCTGCAATTACAGATGGGTATAGGGAGGACTACTACTGGAACTGTAATTGCATGCCTTTTGAAATCACGTATTGATCATGGGAGACCCATTAGAGTATTAAATGATGCATCAAATCCAGACGTAGGTGGTGATATGTCAAGTGGTGATGAAAGTGAAGGCGAAGCCCATCCACCTGCATTATTAGTATCGAAAAATAGACCTCAAATAGATTCAAATGACGCATTTGGGATAAATGACATCCTGCTGCTCTGGAAAATAACAAGATTGTTTGATAATGGGGTGGAATGCCGAGAGGCCTTAGATGCTA